ATGATTTAAAATCTGGCTGTTCAGACCAGGTCATAACTCCAGTTGTCTGCGCATGCACCTCTGCCACTAGCTTGCCACTATTACACATTACTAACTTTGTGTCTCCTCTCTCCTGTAGTGTGTCCTCTCTCTCTCCCTGTACCTTTCTGCAGGTTGCCCTGGCCCTGGAGCTCTACGTCTCTGACGAGCAGTCACCAGCCACATCGACCTGATCAGTGTTTGATTGTTGTGTCTTGTTGCTTTTCTTCTTTTGTCTCTCCTCTATCCACTCACCCCAACCGGTCGAGGCAGAAGGCCGCCCACCAAGAGCCGGGGTTTGTCGGAGGTTTCTTCAGTTAAAGGGAGTTTTTCCTCCCCACTGTCGCCAAGTGCTTGCTCAAGGGGGATTTGTTGGGTTTTCCCTATGTAATAATATTGATAACAGTAAGGTCTAGACCTTACTTTGTAAAGTGTCCTGAGATGACTTTTGTTGTGATTTGGTGCTATACAAATAAAATTTGATTTGATTTGATTTGATTCTAAACCAATCTGAAGTGAGATTATGGTGAATGGTGTCTGCAAGTGTATAGTTAATGGGTTAAGTGCAAATAATAATGCTAAAGCACAGTGTGGCACAAGTAGAGAAAAGTATTGTCTCATATCTAAAGTTTGCTAACAATAACTATCATATGCTGGAGGTAAAATAAGAGTCAAGCAGTGTTTAAGTTGTTGGCGGAGAATGCTGTTATTACTTTATTCAAAAGTTACCCTGCCTCAACATGCGCCTGACTACCATTCAGCTGTTAGACATTATTATTTTGGACATGCAAGTCTCCTGGTAACCAAATTAGGTGAAATGTTAGGACAAGTGATTGTGAGAATGAAAAGCAGCTAAGTCTTTATCCCTCGCATGTTACAGTGCCCTGCAGTTAGCTACTCTCTTTTACACTACTCAATGGAAACTATTTTTCTTTGTGAACAGAATACACAAAAGGTTTGCGAGTTTTTGGTGGCGCGCGGCACCGCATTGCACGTCACTTACGTGCAGCGTGCGCGGGCCTGTTCCCGAAAACGTGTTGCGCGTGCGGCGCACGGGGCGGGGTCGTTCCCTTGTTCGCCATACTTGCACAGAAGCTCGGAGAAATAGACGCACTTACGGCTAAGACACTGCTGCATTTAATATAACGGTAAGTCTCCTTAATTGTAATGATGGCTCATAACACAATTTCTAGACTAATTCTAACAGGAGCACCTGATTTGCTTCCGTAAACTGATGAAAACTTGTTCAGCTAATGTTAGCTGCATACTGTGTTCGGCTTGGCTGAATTGTTCCCAGCGAAACGGCTAGCCACTTGTTTTTCCTCGTCTGTCCCACCCTGTATGAGAGGGTTGGTATTAAGAAAAGTTCAGTCCAGCTGTTTAAAATAAGATAATTTAATCACTCAGATTAGCGGCGTTTTGCTGCTAATAGTCTGCTGCAGTATATTAGCCGGCTTTCCGAAAAGATGTCAGTCCACAGCGGTACCGTTAGCTAGCAGTTAGCTACCACAGTCATGACATTACCGTCAAGTTAATGTTTCTGTTACATAGCTATTGTACTTCTGGACGCTTTTGACAGCACTGTTGACACGTTTGAGGACACGTTTGGCATAATTGAGTAACGTTTCCAACAGCAAATCGTTTAATCACAATTTGTCTTTACAGGAAATTTTGGCTTATTCGGTTAGACTGATTTCTAGAAGCTGTGGTTTGTGATGATGTGCCAAAAATGTATACATTTGTCACAATGACAAAGCGTGATATTCTCATTATGTTGCCTTTGTTTACAGCGTTCTAATATAATTTTATAAACTGTAAACCAAAAAAGAATCTTGTTCGAGTCAGGTTATCAGGGGTTGAAACGGACTGGAAGTGCTGTTATTAACACCACAAAAGATTTGCTCAGAAGAAGCCCCAGCCTCCAGTGCAATTCGTCTGTCTGTGTGAATAATAGGTTTTTAGCTCTTTGTCTGGTTCAATGAGCAGTTTGCTAGCTGAAGGCTGCTGCTTCTCCTCCAGCTGGGTGGGGTGGCCCCATCACATTGTAATTCAGTGCAATCATGTAATATCTATGTTGTCTTATATAACAATGCTTAATGACTCTTGTATTACTTTTGGTCAACCCCTTCTAAAGTCTTGTCCATTTGAACCATAGAGACAAAGCATACACAATCAACACAGGATCACTAAATTATACTTCCTTTTAGGAAAGCATAATATGTCAAAACACAACAATTCATAAACATCTTTCATTAAGACCTACCCTGTTACTGTACAAGAATCCTCTCCACCTAAAGAGAGGCAAAGAGGAACCTCCTAATTTTTCAGCACAGTGTTAGAGGGCTTAAGACGAGCAGTTACATAATGCATTCACTCTGAAGCCCCCCCCCCACCCCACCTCCTCCACCACTTCTGTCACTACACACAGCCTTGATCTAAATTTTGACTCCTGTGGATAAAACAAATTTAGCTATACTAGATGGTGGAGTGTATTTTGAGATCAATGGAATGTTGAGTTAAAAAAAAAAAGGCGTGAAGTCCTTTGTTGCTGTGTGGTAACCAATCCTCTACTGTGTCTACCTGGTCGTTTCCATAAAGCCTGAATGAGTTTTAAAGTCACATTCTTATTATTCAAAGGTACCAGGGAATTTGCTTAAATAAACTGTATTTACATTTTTATCATAAAAGAGCATCTTAGATTATCATTTAAAATGAGGTTTGATCACAGACACTGTGCAACCAGCGAGTATAAATTAGTCACTTGTTCCTGGTTGGTTATCAGGTTTCTCAAGTGATAAAATTGGTGTGTGGAGTGGTGAAAGAGTAAAGTAGCAAAAGAGGGATATTGATATATAAAGAGAGACCCTGCTCAGGTTTCTTTATGAATATAGACTTAAGCTCCTTAGTTGGCAGACATTCCTCAGGTCAGAGGAGAAGAGGTAGAGATTCTCACTAAGTTCCCGCTAGGAGAAGGAACATGTATTGATATGGCTATTTCTGAGTATTGGTAAATACTTGAATGCTGGCTTTTCTATCATATTGCAAACTTGCAATGTCCATCAGTAATGGAAATTTTATTTGACATGTATAATGAGCTATGAATCCTGTTTATATGTGCACAGATGTGCTCCGTCACTTCCACAGTTTACTTAGCACTGTTGATGAGGTTGGCTGCAAAAAATTGAAGTCCCTCAATGGTTGCTGTCATTGTGTAATGAAAACTAATGTCAATTAGGTGCTAAAGCTACTAGAGGCTGAGCGCACTTTGTTAAAGGGTGTAGGCAGAAGCTGCAGCTTATTACGCCTACTTACACCTCTTACTTACTCTAAAACATGTTTGGCATCAGTTATCACATCAAAACAAATATCCTGGGTATCTTTTCACAAACTCAAATCCCAAGCATATTTTTTACCCTACTCTAAAAGATTTTAAATTATGTATTTTATAATTGTTCATTAAATTATGCTTAGATAAATGTTTAAGGTTGATAAGCATGGTGCATGGTTTTTAATTCTCATTACAGCTGTTCTTTAAAAAAAAAATTGGTTCTTATCCTTTGTTTTTTGAAAGACACGTGATCCTCTCAAATCATATTTCTCTCATTTGGATAGTTTGTGGTAATTGTCCGCTTTTTACCTTAAGCTTAATTACTTTTATTTTAAAATCTAAATTCCAAAATTTTAGTGTTGACTTGAATAAATAATGAATTGGTTGGTTCATTCATTCATTATAGCCTGTCTTAAATCATATCGAAGTAGTTGGTAGTAGTTAGATCTTAAATGAAATTTTTATCAGTATCAATTAAGCTTGTGAACATATTGTTCTGTGTAGTCTATAAAATGTCAGAAAACATAAAACCGTCCATCCCAATTTACTAAAGCCTCTATGATATAATCAAATGCCTTGTTTTGTCTGACCAACATTTGGAAACCCAGTAATATTAAGACATTAATTTTGCATTTGTATAAAATATAGGAAAAGCTGTAGCTACAAAATCAGCAGCAGCTTTGCTTAAAAAAGCAACTTAAAGTAAAAGAAAAAATAAAGAAATAAAGAAGGCAAAACAATTATGTGACCAGTGGCTTCAGCTTCAGGTGACTGTCCGATGTCCTCTGGTGTATGTCTGCAGGTCTTATACAGGTTTACAGTGCCGTTTGTTAAGGTCGGCTGAGTAGCAGCATATTTGGCATTACTGCCACTTCAAATTCCCAAAGAGAGTTTACATCTTTAATTCACTCAGCTGGTTTTTCCACATTAATGCATATCAGTGTTGTACACATAGCTTGTCTTGAAATAACAGAGCTCAGAGTGTAGTTAGTTATTTACAGTATTGAACTTGCTGCACTTGTGTGATCAAAGGTAAACAACTAACACTACGATGATGCAGGAAAGTGTAATCTTCAGACATGGACACAAATCATAACGACTCAGATGTCTACTTTGTATCGCTTGAGTCTCACCCAGGGATTTGTGGCCTATATTGCGCCTGTTAGCGTTGCGGATGGGATGGCTGTAAAGTGAATTTCAAGTCTTTTGGCATAAACAGAGCTCTTCCTGCTTTTGTTGCTTGTTATGTTTCAGCAGAGGTTTTTTTTTCCTTTCCAACACTGTTCCCCTTAGCAAGGGATGACCCTGGCATTGGCAGATCCAGAATGAACAAACAAGTTTATTTGCGGTCAAAATGAAACTTAAACCCATTGTACTAACATTAATTGAAATTCCACATCACTTTTCTGGGGAGTCTTCATCACCTGACATGGCATGTTATGTGTTAAAGCAATTTTGTGCATTTACTTCACACTGTTCTTCACAACATGGCTTTTTCTAGGCTGAAAATTGTTTCATAGAAGGAGCAGGACTCTAAGGTAATGTCGGGGAAACACCTATTAACTATATGTTTTATTTTAATGTCCCTTTTGGCAAATTTTCCTCATGCCAAAGTGACATGGTCCTTTTCCTCTGGACCGAATAATATCTAGGCCTGTGAATTTGGTGTATAGAATTTTAATCATGTGATATATGACGCCTCATTCATGAGCCTTCTAGTAGTGCTGATGTTATTTCAGAGAATGGTATTCTGATGACATCACCGTGCAGAGTTGGGTCATCTGCCACCTTTGGCATTATTTTTGTGGTCATCTGTTTGTCCAGTGATTTACAACCTTTGTTCCAAGAGGCAAGAATTCTCGTCATGCTGTGTGTTTTGAACATTTTTTTTTCTTTCTCTTCTTTTGTCAACCCCAGCCTACTTGCATTTCTCCACTTATGCCACTATTTACTCACCATTTTCTTCATTTTACACTCATTGTCTGCAGACATGGCTGAGGATGAGGTGACTCCGGAGCAGCTAGCAGCCATTGCCGCCGAAAACGAAGAGCCAGAGTCGGTGAACTACAAGCCACCTGCCCCGAAGACAGTGAAGGAGATCCATGAGCTGGATAAGGACGATGAGAGCTTATGCAAATATAAGGAAGCTCTGCTCGGCACTGTGGTCACCGAAGCTGGTAATGCTGTGTGTGTGTGTGTGTGTGTGTGTGTGTGTGTGTGTGTGTGTGTGCGCGCATGCATGCGTGGGCGCGCATTTAATTTTGGTGCCTAGTCTTTTGATGAAAATGCACATTAATTTTAGTAAAGTTTGAAGTCTTGATTTTTCTTAGTTTTAGTCAGTGAAAATAAAAAACACATTAGTCAGATTTTTGCCATTTTTAATGTAAATACCTTCTAAGCATTTTGAGGCTACAGCTGTTGCCATCTTTGTTGTGCACAGGAGTTGTTCTCATCTATTGCGAGGAACGTGGAAGATGCTGTTTGTTCACAGTGTCAATCTGTTCTGCAGAATCTGGATTCGCTCCCATTTGGTCCAAAGTCCTGTTTACTGGGCTCAGCTTGAGAGAAGTCCAATTAATGGAGAACTTTAATACAGATAGATAGATGGTTGATTGCCAACATTAATCCTGGAATTTACTCGTTCATTTGATAGTAACAACTAAGCTATCTGGCTGAAAGTAACCTTAGTGTTACAGCATCCATCCATCCATCCATTATCCCCACAACCCTATCTGAATAGGGTCACAGGGGGTCTGGAGCCAATCCTAGCTGACACTGGGTGAGAGGCAGGGTCCATCCTGGACACGTCACCAGTCTACCACAGGGCTGACACGTAGACAGACAACCACACACACCCACACTCACTCTTACAGGCAATTTAGAGTCGCCAATCAACCTAAGCTGGATGTCTTTGGACGGTGGGAGGAAGCCGGAGTACCTGGAGAGAACCCACGCAGACACAAGGAGAACGCGCAAAGGTTCTGGGTTTGGCTGGGGCTCAAACCCAGAACCTTTATGCTGTGAGGTGATGGCGCTAACCGCTGTTCCGCCCCGAAAACTAATTTTCCACCTTATATTTGGAGAGAGGCACTGTTTGTGTTTTAACAGTGATTTGCTATCACTTATTGATCCGGGAACTTAGAATCTGTGAACATCATTGTAACTTTAGTATCCTTGTTAGCTAGGTTAGCAAATTCTCTAGCTGTAAAATAGGCCATATTGGTTATATTTTCTATCTGCTGTCTTGAAGATTTTGATCTACTCTGGGTGTAACTGCCATCCTGACAGTACAAAGGAATATCCAGTCAGTTGTTTGGTTAGTTTGATAATCAATAAAGGTTTGTTGAGACACTGGTTGTCAATTAGCAGTTCATTCCTGTTGCCCACTTATGTTTTGTTTGAGATCAAGCCAGCTCCATTTTTTTCAGCATAGAACTCTTGTCCTTGTTTTTACATTCATTTTGATGTGTCATGTGGCTTAAAGCACTTGTGGCGCTTAAGTCTTGACATGGTAGGTAAAACCTTGGTAATGACGTTAACAAATAGAACACAATGCACAAGCACCTGCCCCACAGTTGTGGTCTTGACTGGTCCTGCATCCACTTTGTCTGAGACTGAGTAAGGATGTGGTCGATTTCAAGATGAGACCAAGACCTTCAAATAGTGGTCTCAAGACCAAGCCCAATCTCAAGTACTACAACACTGCATTGTGACCTAGAATTTTCTGGTATAAAAGTTGCTTCGTTGGGGCTGAGAATAAACTGGGGTCTAATTAATGCAGAGGCTGTCCCAGCTACAGCAGAGTCGTCCTGATTTCAGCTCCCTTGAGCCCTCACACTGGGACAGCTGCTTGACCTGCGTCATGTGCAGGCCTCATGGAAATGTTGGGAGCCTGGTGTAAATTTTCTGCATGCATCTACACAAGTGCTGTCACAGGATATACCTGTGCATTAAGCATACATTCAAATACTCTTGTATGCCCTCCTAATGTTATGAATTCTTTAGCTAATAGGAAGTTACATAAAATGACTTTAAGGAGAAGTCACATAAACCAACTCTAGTATACTACACATATACAGTGTGTAAAATCTCATGTCAGAGAAAGTGTGTTTGAGAATGTCTTGGTTGTGTGTACTGACCCATCTGTGTCTTCCAGTCTCAGATCCTAATGCTCCCAATGTTCAGGTGACCCGGATGTGTCTGGTCTGTGAAAGCGCCCCAAGCCCCCTGGTCTTGGACTTGCAAGGTGAGTCCCTCTTGAGGTTTATTTCTAGAGCACAAATAGAGATTTATTTATGGCTAGTGGATCTGGTACATTAAACACAACATCTCTTGATGGCTACAAATATTTATAGTCCACTTGAAGCCAAGTGGAAGAGCCAAATAGACATCATGTTATTCCAGCACATTCTCCACATATCGTTCCAACACAGATCATATTTTTTCTGTATCTTTCTCCTTTATTCTGCATTGTTAAAAAAAAAAGCATCTCTCTTGGCCCCTCTGCTCAGGCTGCATGTTGTGGTTTTCATCCAGTACTTCTTACAGTTCTGTCGGTGAAGGTTTTAATCTGTGCTAAATAAATAACATATGATTCACTGATTGCCTGCAAGGTGGAGGCTATTATAGATGAGGTGCTTAGGCTGGATTCATTTTCTCTGTGTGGCTGAAGGCTGTAAAAAAGAACTTAGGATGTTCCCAGTGATGATCTAGGGGTTAAGAAGGTCCGCCTCTGGCTGCAGTGCCCCAGCTGGCCAAGTATTTATCTGTCCAGAACATTCTGCCCTGTGTTTCCCTTGAATGTCCTGTGTTCTCAGCCTAAAACAATGACTGTCTGCTCATAGGTAAAATTAAAACAATTGTGATTTTGGGTTTTGAAAGTCCCTATCAATAATTTTATCTTGAGGTCACAAGTTATCCTATCGTGGTCCTGTAAAAACTATAAATGTTCATTTTTGATTAGATAGAAAATGCCCAAGGAAAAAAAGGCCTGTCTTGTGGTCTACTTTTCATGCAAGTTAGGAAGGTATCTGTCCAGAACCGATATTTAAAGATTAACATTACGTCTTCGAGGTTTGATTATTAATTGACTAATAGTGAGGAGTGGATGCTGGTAGTCATAAATGCTATACACAAGTTGTGGCAGCTTATTTCTGTTTGTCCTCAATGTCCAGCACCAACACTCAACCCAGATAGTTTCATGGCCATGAGAACCGAGTTGGTCAGGAGCAGAGCTTTTCTGGGGGCAGAATGCACCCCATGGCACTGACTGTGACCAGATCAAATTAGAAAATCATAGTACATGTGAAAGATAAAAATGGACCTTTTCTATGTGCACGCAGCAGCAGTTTGCTGTTAATCCGTGCAAGTATGTACTGGTGAGCAGGTATAAATGTGCTATAGTTAAGGGAGCACTTCAACATGCTGTGAAATGTGTTTGACAGCCATTTTACTCAGAGCTAAAGATTGATTTAGGTTTGAGTGTTTCACAAAATATTCTGCTTTCCTGAGGTTGAGCAATATTAAGAGCTGACCCAGAAATAGTGAGGTACATTATAATCATCACTGGCTCAGAGCGGGTTGGCTTAGGATGAGCCTTCTGATAAAGTCTTGTTAGTTTTGGCTCTTAACCATGTTGTTTCTAATTTTGGTGGCTTTTCTATATTGGGCTAAAAGTAACAGATTTTTAACAGTTTGAATTGGTATTTATCAGATTACGCTGTGTGTGTCACACTCACAGTTACAGATGAGTCACAACTCATCCACCAGTGCCAGTGGTTTTCCTACTGAAACGTGTTGAGTTGTACAGTGCTAGTCACGGGTCCTGTCTTTGTCTCCATTATGGTGCACCAGCTTCGGATTTGCATTCTGGGAGCTGAATTTCAGCTCCTCCCAGGAGGTAGTACTAAAACCAGGTTATAGAAACACGAGGGGGACTGTGTGTGTGTGTGTGTGTGTGCGCGCAGAGTAGTCACTAGTGATTGATTAAATGTCAGCGTCTTCACACTTCAAGCATTAGCATTACAAGCAGGGTGTGTAAAAAAAAAAAAAAAAAAAACACACTGGTTTACAGGTGAAACAGGACCTTACTTGTCAGCTGATGGATAAACTGCTCATACAGTCTGTGTTACTGGCTGATTGTTGTACTGTGGAGTGATCCTTCACGTCCTCCCCTTGGCTGTGTGTGTGTGTGTGTGTGTGTGCATGAGAGGGGTGCAGCCCTTCCCACCTCTAAACAGACGCTGACATGGAGAAAATGCAGCAGAAAAAACAAGCAGGACTGTCCGCATCAACCCAGGAGATTACGCGGGGCGGAGGACAGGGTGTGCAACTTGTTAGGTTCCGATAGTGGAAAGGCAGCTACTCAATGATGTGTTCACATTGTTGATTAATAATTAAATGAAGCATCAAAGTGTTCCTTTAAAGTTCCTTGTAATGCCTTTTGTGCTTCTTTATGATGGTGAGTTTCCTATTACTAATGACTGACAGCTCTCTTTCTAAATGTTTCTAAAGTGAAAGAAGAGTAAATAAATAGCTTTTTAATTTCCCTGGCCAAGCACATTCAACTGACTTAAAAGGACTGAAGACCATGTCATTAAAAACCATGGTTTAATGGGGATATAAAACAGAAAATCAGGAAGAAACGAGAGGCTTTTAAGTCAGGGGATCAAGCGGAGTACAGGAGAGCCCGGTATGAGCTACAGAAGTCCATCAGAGCTGCAAAGAGAGCATACTTGCAAAAACTGGAGAGCTACTATATGAATAACAACACACGCAGCATGTGGCAGGGAATCCAGGCAGTCACAAACTACAGGAACAAATCAACAAACACAGCCCCACAGGACGCCACCCTCCCAGACAGCCTCAATAACGTCTATGCAGGGTTTAATAGGTTGAACAGAGACACCCCCTCAATATCCCCCAGCGACCTGGGGGACACTGCTTTTCAGGTGATGTGCACACGGGTCCTGAAGGCCCTGAGACAGGTAAACCCCCATAGGCAGCGGGACCAGACGGTGTCCCCCCCTAGACTGTGGAGAGCCTTTGGGGATCAACTACCTAGTGTGTATACAGACATCTTCAACCTGTCTTTAACCCAAGCAGTAGTTCCTCGCATTTTTAAGGAATCCATCATCGTACTGGTCCCTAAGATGTCAGACACATCCACTCTGAATGACTTCAGGCCAGTGGCGCTCACATCAGTCACCATGAAACTGGTCCTCACACGTTAACCACATGGTCCTGGACACTGTAGACCCCTCCAGCTTGCCTACCGCCCCAACAGATCAGTGGACAATGTGATGACTCTGACTTTATTCCACACTCTGAAACACCTGGACAACAGCAGTACGTATGCTAGGATGCTCTTCCTGGATTACGGTTCTGCATTCAGCACTATTCACCCGGGCAGGCTGATTGGGAAGCTGACAGACCTCGGTGTCCCAACTCCCACCTGTAACTGGATTCTGGACTTCCTGACAGAAAGACCACAGGTAGTTAGAATGGGAGGGCGGGTGTCTGCTGAGCTCACAATCAGCACAGACTCACTGCAGGGCTGCTGTCTCAGCCCCAAACTCTTCATCCTGTACACCCACGACTGTGTCTCCAACCATGACAACACCATCATCATTAAATATGCTGATGACACCACCGTTCGGGGCCTCATCAAGGGGAGAGACGAGTCGGGTTACAGAAGCTTGGTGAATGACATTCTTGTTTATGGAGAGGAGAATG